ACTATAGAGCTACGCCTTTTTTACTACTTTTCAGACACAAAGAATCATTTTCAAGATAAAAACTAGCACTTACTAGCATATACCAGAGCACAAAGTCCATAAGAAATCCACACAACGAAAATAAACAACTTCATGGAGGCCATGGGAGCTTTGCTAAGTTTTTAACTTCCCTCGTGATTGCTAAAGTCTAATTTTGAATAAACCTTAAAAAGTTCCTGTTTTCTTCGTTGCACTAATTAATAAAATATCTCATTTTAATTTCAGATTGTTATTTCTTGAAATCGTGGACTGGTTCATCTATATTAATTAGCACTTCAGCATTTTATTTTACTTCCTCTCTTGACTTATTGCATTTTTATTATCATCGTTATTTATTTGTCCATAGGGGTCTTTGTACCAAACCTTTAAAAAATCACGCAATTTTTGAAGATTTTTTATTTTATTTTATTTTTTATTATTTTTTTATATACTGCGTTTAAATCTTCAGGTGGGTTTCAATTAGCTGAAAATGTTAAATTTGATCTGTTAGTTTATGTCCCTTACTGGTTGTATATTGTTCAGTGAGGAAGGTACAGGCCGATTTTTAAATTAAACCTTCACAAATATTTAGATAGCTTTACTAACTAAAAGAGTTTCTGTCCAATGCCGGATACACAGGCATCTATCCCCCTCGTCTGTGACGAACAGTGAACAGTTGAAGAGTATCACACGAGTCTAATTTTTTAAAAAAATGTTCCCAAGCACTGTACCATAAGAGATCAATGCTAAGATGTTCTTTCCAGAAATGTTTTTATTCCAATTCTATGCAAACTAATGTCACTCAACCGTGTCAGCCATATGCTGTTCCAACAAGGACTTGTAGGAACATCACCCATGATTATTTTTTTACTATTATTAAATTATGCTTTGTTTTACTGGCTTTCCTACCTTCGCATTAAAATTATTACAAAATAGAGACAGACAAGACTTGAAACGAAAATTATTTTGGTTGTGGTCGCTTTGTAATAATCATCATTGGCTTACACCTTAAGCCTGGTTTCCATATGATCGTCCGGATCGCCCCGATCGTCCCAGTCGTCTCAAATAATGTTCAGACGATCGGGACGATCATATGGAAACGCTAGCCGGACGACCGGACGACGACCTCGATCGCTTGGATAGAATCAAGTTCAATCCGGGCGATAGGGACGATCGTGTACATTTTGAAGCAATCATATGGAAACGCTCTCAGACGACTGAGACAATCGAAACGATCGAAAGCTATCCCAGAAATCATCACTTTTATTCCAGTAATAGAGTACGAAAGTGTGACGTCATAAAAATGAAATTTCTGAAATTATGGGATTTAATGTCCAAGAGGTCTACTTGCCAAAAATGAGCATTTCGGGGCAAATTGTCTCTGAGATCGTAGGCCATTTATGTTTAGAAAACTCCATACAAACCCTTCTAAATTTTGTTTGGTCGACCCAAAAAAAATTAAAAGGCTTTGTATCGAGTTTTCCGAGTATAACCGGCTTAAATCTCAGAGACAATTTGCCCCGAAATGCTCATTTTTGGCAAGTAGGCCTCTTGGACATTGTCCTTTCAGAATATCCTGACAAATCCCATAATTTCAGAAATTTCATTTTTATGACGTCATCACTTTAGTAC